TTCTACTGTGGGGGTGTGTGCAGAATGTCATTTGGTGGTGGTAAGAGATTTTGAGAATCTTCCTTCAGGGATCTCCAAGTTTGCTCCCTTTCCTTCTTGATAGTTATTATTTTATACGCTGTTTATTTGTTCAGCTGAGATGCTGGCATATGGCAAAGTGAAGGTCTGCCACCTGTATTTCAGTTCCTAAGAGTGGTTTTGTGTTTTGGAGCTCAGACCCCACCTCTGTCTTGCACTAAAATGTTTGGCTTAGGGCACAATCCTAGACAGAGTTGTAGAACATTTTTCTCTTTGGACATGCATTGGAATGTGCTTTATGCTGCATTTGTTTTAGTTTCATCAGTTTAATTTCTGGAAAATGAGTGTTTTATGATCATGACACCTAGTTATGAATGGGCAAGCTCCCATGGCAGTTATTCTGTGAGAAAGTCCCCATCACACCTCTAAGATTCCAAATATGTCCACCAACCCAAAAATGTTGGTAACCCCAAGATGGTAGTGAGTATGATGTTAGACTTCAGTGTCATAGGAGTCAGGAAACTAGACAAATATATTATTTGTCTCTCTTCAAAAAGAACAGGAAACTCTAGACACTGTCCAGTTACAGCTAAGTTATAGAGAGTAGGACTTACATGCAAGCCAACGCCATCCCCAACTTCCTCCGCTATTCACGTTCCCATATTAGTACAGTTTTTGTGTGTTGTAGCAAGTGCTTGAATAGAGGACTTACGACTAAACTGTATAATGATTCTATTTGTGCAGTGAGATAGACTTGTGGGGAAATACTTAGCTTTACAGACCTCAACTTTTATTTTTAGGGGTTGAGACCCTGGAGTTTCTGCTTAGATGCTTGTTTGCCTGTTAAACCTATTAAACATAGGTTAAAGCCTATTAAAATAATAGAAATTCCTGCATTTTTGCAGTGGTTAAATGTTAAGTGCTATAACCCAAGATTACTTTTATATTTATTTTTGTATTGTATTGTATTTTATTGTGTTGTAAGCCACCCCGAGGCTTCGGCAAGGGGCGGCATAGACATGTTCTAATAATAATAATAATAATAACAACAACAACAACAACAACAACAACCTATCTTTAGCACCATCAGTTGCTCACTATGATGCTTTTAACAACCATTTTGCAGATAAAAATTTCTTGGATAAGAGCTGAGCTTGATGTGATTGTGGAGGTGGAGATCAATACAGAAGTGTCCAAGAGCTCCATGAATCAGGTTATCCTGGATCAATTTCAATTTCTATGTCTTGATGATGTTGACAGGCTGCTTGGTCTGGTAAGAAAAACCACCTGCCCTCTCAATCCGTGTCCATCTTGGCTGATAGTCTAGGGGGTAAAAGCATTGCCGGAGCTTTTATGCCTTATCACAGGGTTTCTGCCTGTTTGAATGAGGCTACCATCTGGCTCATCCTCAGGTAACCTGATTTGAACTCCTGGACCTTAACAACTTCGGACCAGTCTCTAACATACCATTTCTTTGTACGGGGATCAAGATGGCATTGTCTCTCCAGCTCCGGGCAGTCCTGAGTGATATTGATCTTCTGGACCCAAACTGACTTGAGCAGGACATGGAGTTGAAACTGCTTTGGTCACACTAGTAGATGTTGGTTCTGTTGGATCTCTCAGTGGCCTTTGATACTATTGACCACAGTAACCTTCTGCAGGATCTGAGGAAGTTGGGAATTGGAGACACTGCTTTGTATTGGTTCCATTCCCACCACTTAGGTCAGTTCCAGATGGTGATGCTTGGACTGACTTGTGGGGTGCCACAGGGCTCCATTTTGTCTCCAGTGGTGTTTAACATCTACATGAAGTTGCTGGGAGAGATCAACTGGAGGAGTGGCACTGGATGTTATCTGTACACTGATGACACCCAGATCTACTTCTCCTTACCATCATCTGCTTCTTCTAGAGACAGTGTCCCCTCTCTGAATGACTGCCTGACGCTGCTAATAGGCTGGACAAGTTGGAGCCAGACAAACATTGAAGTTGGATCCAGACAAAACCAAGGTGCTTGCTGTAAAGGGTCCAGATCCAGGAATAGAGGGGTGTCAACTGGTTCTAGATGGTTCCACATGCCCCTTGAAAGACTATGTTCACAGTTTGGGAGAGTGGTTCTTGGCCAGGCCCTTCAGATGTCAGCTCAGAAGTTGTGGTTAAGAGTTTCTACTGTTAGCTTAGACTGATTCGCCAACTGCGTCCTTTCCTGGAGAAGAAAGACCTGAAAACAGTAGTGCAAACATTGGTTACTTCTAGGCTTAATTTCTGCAGTGCCCTTTACATTGTGCATACCCTGGAAATCATGACTTGTACAAAATATGGCAGCCAGGCTGGTCTCCAGGACATCATGCAGAGACCACATATCACCTATTTTAAAGTCTTTTCATTCACTGCCAATACATTTCCAGATACAGTACAAGGTGTTGATAATTACCTTTAAAGCCCTGCATGGCTTGGGTCCAAAATACTTTCAGGAGCACCTTTGCCCATATATTCTGCCTTACCAGCTATGGTCCTCCAAGGATAATCTTCTGCAGTCTGTTTCTGCCTTATAACTACTTGAAAACCACTTTTTCAGTGGTTGCTCTTAAGCTGTGAAATGGGCTGCCAGGGGAGATACCTCTGATTTCCCAAATTCCCACCTTTAAGAGGAAGTTATGTATCTCTTCTGACAGGCCTTCCCAGATTAGTTTTCATGTCAGTTTTATTTAATAAGTTGTATAAATCAATATTACTCACTGTTAGTTTAATTTCTTGTAAACCTTCCACAGCCTATGGTAATGGGGCAGTATATAAATATTAAGATGATGATAAGATAAAGTAGGATAAGGTGAAGATGCTTATCGACAACCACAGCTATTTATCCATGGCCTGTTCTGAGGAGCAAGGCAGGAAAGGCACTCCACATAAGAACATTCTGAAACTGAGCCTTGCCTTAAATTAAACCCTAACTAATGTGGAAATAGGTTGTGTATGCAAACAGTTTGTGTGTGTGTTGCATGTTAATACTGCATTTTCCCCTTCAGAAAGATGTTATGCCCTTCATAGCTAAGTGACAACCAGAAATTCAACAGATGCTTAGCACAGAGATGCAGGAAGGGAGAATGTTTCATCTACAGAATTTCTGCCATGCATGAAGCTCTTAAAATGAAAAATAGCAAAATAAAAATCAAAAAACAAATCACATTGCACATAACACGAATTGAAGGCATATTAAAATGAAGTTTCTTTGCTTCATCAAGTGAAACCTGCTGAGGGACTGAGCCACAGAAAAAAGGCGGGAAAAAGGCTGCAGAGGGCCTGAGGCAAAGGAAAAAGGCGGGAAAAGTCTGCTGAGGGGCTGCGGCAACAAAAAGCCATGAAGGGAAGCTTAAGAGGGCACTCAAGGGCCGCTTCAAAGCTGATGAAACTCACTTCTTGACCATCTTTCCCACTCTTTTCTTTGGCATCTCTTCCTAGTGAGTCACTGAGGGAAGAGCTTTGTTGCTGTCATGTTAAAGATGGCCTAAACATTTGGTGTGTGTGTAACTCCTCCTACTCTGTCAGACTTTTCTTGATGTATTTATGCCATGAAAGCCCCACAAATAGCTTGGGCAGGAGAAGAAGGGGGAATGAACATGGGCATCGTTATACATGAGCGAATAAAATAAAACTGTCCATTACTTAATCTTACCTCTCCCACCCTACCCCTAATCATTATCCTGGCCTCCTCCCGAATGTTTGAGACTTGGCATGCAGAAATCCACAAGTGAAAATGCTATTTTCATGGAATTAAGCTGCTAATGGCATCCAATCAAACTGCTGTTAAAGGAGCATGAGATACCACTTGAATAGCCAGCAACCTTTGTTTGCCAAATGCTGACACTCCTTTCCTTGTTAGGGGAGGATACTGTACTTGGAATTTTTTAGTTTTATTTTTAAAAGAAATGGCTAATTTAGACAGAAAAGGTCCTATAAGCAGGCTGGCTGAGGTGAGGTTTCGGCAAAGGGCGGCATAGAAATGTTATAATAATAATAATAATAATAATAATAATAATAATAATAAAAAGACCATTTTTTCTGCCTAAACTTACATAACCGTGTGGGAGATGCAATGAGCTTTCACTATCTAACAGAGTGTTATCACCTACAAATTCTCCACAGGGAGGTGTGGACAAAGTAGATAGAAATTCATGTGTGCCTTTCATCATCTTCCTCTGATAATACTAGGTGTCTGGGGTCACCCAATGATTCTGATGGGAAGTAGATTCACACCAGACAAAAGGAAACACTGCCCGCAACTCATGCTTTAAGGAATTACTACTGCCAGGTGTGAACTGCTTTAGATGGCTTTAAAAGAGGATTAGACAGTTTCCTGGAGGTCTATCAATAGCTTCATGTTAAGAGGCAGTTTGTCATTAAATGCCATTTGCTGGGGGATAACATGACAGGGTTATTGTGCTCATGCCTTGATTGTGTGCTCCCCAGAGGCATTTGGCCATAAGAGGGCAGAGTCTTGGTCGTCTTCTTTTGCTCTTATAAAATTCGCCCCTAAATCCTAGATTTTATGGCATAGGTTGTAATTAGTGGATTGGCAAAAAGGCCATGCTATGCAGTACATGGAAGAGCCATGACTAAATCTCCTGAAAGAAAGTGCTGGGAGTTTTTAATTCAGCACTTGCTATTTAACCCTAATCCTGACCCTGACCCTAAGCAGAACTGTAACCAGAACCCTAACCCTAACCCAAAGCTCTCCTCCGGCACCATATTTCAAACACACACATTTTCTTCCTATCAGCTTTCTTTTCTGCCCAGCTTTCTGCCCATACATAATGATCAGAAATAAAATAATGTAGTCTTCTTTGAATTTCTTGGCGTCAGTCTCCATTTGAATTGATGTTACTAGTGCAGCCTCAACTGCTTTTACAGTGGTATATTGCATCGTGAATTTATGCTTTTCTGATGTTTTTCTTTTTTTAAAAAATTCTCTTACTATAGGTTACAAAATGAATGACATTATATTAAACAACCTGGACAAGCTGCTGCTACAACTTGGTATGTTGCAATGGCTTAACACTGAAATATTTTAATTTAATTTAATAAAACATTTATATCCCATCTTTCACTAAACGTCTCAAGACGGCTTACAAAACAAAGTAATATGAAGCAAAGTAAACCCCTTTTCTCAACACTCTGTTATTGAAAAGTTCCGATTATGTGAATCATTAGGTGACTCTCAGTTTCAAGCAAATGTCATTGCCAGTTGTATGTCACTGCCTTAACCATGAATGTGAAAAGTCCTTTGGCAGATGGAGTTGCTCTACTGGATCAAGGTGGAGTTACACTCAAGGCTGAACTACAGGTTACATAAAATGCATGTAGTAAAACTCTAAATAGCAATTATTTGTAATTAAGCAAATGAGAAAGGGGCATATATACATCAAGGACTAGTACCTCACATACCATCATCCCTCACAGTTCCCCGCACCAGATTCTCCTCTATACTTTTAAATAAATGTTTACAAAGTACATCTGCAGGTTGGAAGCCTGCAGAAACAGCCTGGGGATGGCAAGTTATGCAGGTAGGAGAGGAATAATGTGTCTGTGGCAATGGAGTGAGGGAAGGTTACACTGTCTATTACAGGCAAGCCATAGATGAACTGCTTGAATATAACAAAAACTGGAATAAAATCAATATTGAAGCAACTGAACTCTTTTCTAAAATACCAATTTCTTTTTAACATTTTGTATCTGAACTTTCAATAAGACCAAAACAAAAGTATATCAATTTCTGCTTCAGTATTTCAGCTTCAGCAAGCATCTTATGCTAAGGAACATGAGAGACAGCAGATTCAGAGTGAGTAACCTTTTGAAAGCCACAATACTATAGTTAAGAGCCATACCATTCATCACTTCAGCCCCATTATTCAGTTTTTGTTTGCTGCCAGTGTATCCCAGTCTGATTTGGCTCCGTTGTTCCACACGACTTCATCTCTTCTATAGCAGTTTCTTAGCTCCATTTACATGCTTCTTATGATTACATGATCTGAGATCTACATTACCTTAGTTGTACTAATTCCCTTCCACCACTGAGTTCCTTGCTCCACTCCTCTCTGGGCAATTTCACATATTACAGAGCAACAAATCATGGTTTGCTGTTGAGTATACACTTGTCAGAAAGCCTCAGTCAGTCCTAGCTCTCTGTTGAGTCCAGCAATACACATTTTCATATGCTAGCTTGTCATATTAAAGGCCAGATTATATTGTGCACAAAGTCATGTATAACCTTGCTATTATTATTATTGTTGTTGTTGTTGTTGTTGTTATTAAACAGCATCAGTCTTGGCTGCAAGATGAGTAAGGGAAGGCTGCTATTTAACCATTTCCCCTTGGATTATTTTGTTGAAAACTCCCCCAAAAGCATTATCTTCTGCAGGGGAAAAGGTACAGGTGCAAATACCTTTTTCTCCCAAAGAAGAGAATTTTTGGGAAGAGGCAATTTTGAATGAAAAGAACTGGCTCAAGAGCTTAAATTGCTCACTTCTCTTGTTTAAGATTGTTCAGTCTTTAATCTTTGTTCAAGACAACTGAATCTTAAGAACTTAAGAAAAACCATGCTGAATCAGAGCAAAGTCCTGTCTTGTTCAGCATTCCGTTCACACAGTAGCCAAACAGCTGCTTGTGGGAAGCTCAGAAATAAGAGGGGAATGCAACAGCATCCTCCTGGCCATATTCCCCAGCAACTGATATACAGAGGCGTTGGATACTGGAAATAATATACCTATCATGAGTCCCTGGTAACCCTTTCTTCAGTGAACTTTTCAAATCCTCACTGCATCTTGTGGTTATGAATTTCAGCTGCAGGTGCTTTTCCTGATTTAAGAAAAAGCACAAAGTTACATGCCATTACATATTATGAGTATATTGGCTTGCATTCATAAGGTGTGAAGATTATGGTAAATATTCTTGTGGCTCCTTTTCTGGTAGAGTGAAATATATAGTGCTAGCCAGCCTACAATTAGTTGGCTAGCTTGTCTTCTCCTCAGCTTCTTTTGTGGAATGCTTCCAGAGCTAACAGCCAAGAAGACATTGCATTGCAAATCCTTCCTTTTTCCAGAATGGATTTTATAAGTAAGGACAGAGACAGAAGAAGAAGCAGAGACACATGGAAGAGATATGAACAGAAGTTGTTGATGACATAACAACATAGGAAAAGCCATGCTGGATCAGACCAAAGGTCCATCCAGTCCAGCATTCCATACACATGGTGGTAAACCAGCTGCCCATAGGATCCCTCCAGCAGAAGGAGATCTCCTCCTGCCCAAGCTCCTCAGCAATGGATGCAGGCAGGCCTGCTCTGGTGAAGGAGGGAGCACATAGCCTGCATGGCTAGTAGCCATGGAAAGTCTCCCTCCCTCGTGCATCTGTCCATTGACATTTGGGTCCCCCTAAACTTCTGCAAATGAGACATGGCAATGATTCCATAACAGCCTCCTCTGAAAGCAACCTTGGTCCATACGAAAAAGAAGAAATGAAAAACATGATCTCCCAAATTTAAAGAAATGCTTCTGTACCTCCAATGTATTTGGCTGTTGGAATAATAATAGTCATAGTAGCAGTAATAATAATACTTGCATGCTTGAAACTGCCTGGGAATTGCCTTTCACAAACAACTATCTCTGACCAAAAGCACATTTAACTAAAAAAAGTTAAAGGACATGCACTGTGCTCTTTTTGCTTGTAGTAATCTGTTTTAATTGCACTAGTGCTGAAATTTGATTTGTTTCATATTTGTATGTTTTGCTAAACTGCCCTTGTTAAGGTAGTGTAGAAATATCCTTATAAATAGTAACTGACCTAGAAACAATGGAGCAGAGGAATTGAATGTGCATGATAGAATTCCAAGAGCCATAACAAGGTCCAGGATCAACACTCTGACTTGATTCATGGGATTCACCGAACTAATTCTGTAATATAAGTTACAGTGAGCCATTCTTAATTTAAATGCTTTAATATATGGAAGATAGCATTTCTTTTCAGTATATACTGCAAAAGTTGTGGAGAAAAAAAGTGAAATCTGTCAGCTACAAGAAGATATTAACAAAAATGATGAAATGGTTAGTAACCTGAGCAAGCAAAACAATAGCAGTAAGGAGAACTGTAAGGCGTAAGTACATCACAGAGCTTACACTCTTTCGGCGCCATGTCAAAACCTTTTTATTTAACTGGTATTTTAAAAACTAATATTAATGTAACAGTCATGTTTTATTGCTTTTACTGCTTGGATTGTTTTAATGTATGTGATTTTATTGATTGTTTTAATGTATTGATTGCGAGCCGTCCCAAGATGCCTTGCATGGGAGATGGCATACAAAAGTTTTAAATAAATAAATAAACTATATTCCTGAAACTACATAATACCAACAAGAAGGGGACTGTATCCAAATGATGCTTTATTACTAGAAGGCAACATGTTACTTGTGATTTAATCCAAAAAGTCTTGTAGACTATTTTACAAAGATCAACAGTAAGACAATCATCGCCCTCAGACTTACAATGGAAAAGATACAATACAAAGGAAAAGGGATTAGGAGAAAGGGAGGCGGGAGCAAATTTGGGCACTAGTTCTTTTTTATAAAGCTCTTACATTAACAGCTGGAATGGAAACAGTTCAAGGAGAGGAGTCAAAAGTTGTGAACCTCTTTGCTAAGTTAGGGGATACACCCACTTCTCATCTCTCACTCTGCTATTTTGGTGGAGCAATTGCTGATGGAGAAAGAAGGCTGATGGAGCTAGATTCTGAGCAGAGCTCATAGCTTGGCAGTGGCACTATTTCCCCTTTCTCACTCTCTGTAGCCTGATGGAATTATTTGGTTGTAGACAGAAAACAATAATGCTTAATGCTCCCTGAGCATTGCAAGAGTTTTCAGTACATTCCATAATCTTAAACCAGCTCTGTAATGCAGGCCAGTCAGGAAAATTATCCTTATATTGCAGGTGGTGGTGTTCAGATTTGACCTGGAGCCTTCTTGAGTGACAGAACAATCTCTTACACTTACTCCCTGTGAATTTTATAGTATTACCGAGTATGAGTGTTTTCATGCCCATGAAATCTTTATGCTATTTTTGTTAACTGCCCAGAGAACCTCAGCTATCAGGTGGTATATAGATGAATTAAATAAATAAATATCAAAAAGTTATTACATATTCACAGCACATGCTAGTTTGTATTTGATGGTTATAAGTTGCATCCCATGTAAGTCAATCCAATGGTTTTAACTAAGGTTCACAGAAGCCAACATTAGCCTAGGTACTTTTCTTTAGAGTGCATTGTTATAATGTCTTTAGGGGATGATATATGTGGGTAGGGAAGGATGGTGTAAATAGAAAGGTAGTTTGAAACCTCACTTTCATAGGGATGGTAATTATGCATTATTTTGTTGGTTTGGTACTGTTGATGTACTATTTTAATAAGTAAATACTTTTGGTTTAACAATTTACCTTAGTTGGAAACCAACATACATAATTCTTAATGAACATGAAAAATATTTACAAAAAGAACTTGAGAAACATCAGGAATCTACAGAAAAAGACAGGTATGCAAGAACATTTGAACTTATATTAATAATAATTTCACAAAATATTGCTAATCATAATCATTCCACCCATTAGCTATAAAAATGTGAAAACTATGTTTTGGGAAGTTACAAATGTACACTTTCATGAAGGATTGCAGTTATGCAACAGCATTTCAATGGCACTTGCTAACCATAGCAAACCACATCCTACATCCCATTGAAAAGTAATAGAAAAAATGCAAGTAGTCTCAAATGTTCCCATTAATGAAACACAGCATGTTGTGTCAATATTTTTCCAAATTTCTTCTGAGTAGATCTAAGTCTATGTCAATGTGCTTGTGCTTTGAAAAGACAAATAGTATCTAAACATTATTCCCTTGTTTAGGAAAATGTACCAGGAGTATATGAAGCAGTATCAAGAAACTTTCAATCAGCATCAGGCAAAGTATTCAGAAAATGTAATTGCCCAGGAATATTATGAGGAGAAAAAAAATTGTGAAGAAATCCAAAACCGAGTTCTGAAACTATCTGAACTACTTAAACAGAAAGAAGCTGAAATCAAAGATCTTCAAGGTGAAAGCATGGTTTCCTGCAATGTCCATTTATATAAAATACATGAAATAAGATAACTTCTTGAGATCAAAACATTAATTCAACCGATTGCACTGAATCAAGATGTCCTTTATATAAGGGAATGCCGAAATAGCCAGTTTCCTCTGCAATAGTGAAAAAGTGTGTCTCATCATCTGATCTCTCAGTCTCTTATTTAAATTATTTGTGAGTTCTCACAGTATTAATCTGCACATTTACCATTCTTGCAAATTGCAAGTTTGGAATTGTCATATATTTTTCTAAAAAACTAAATTTGCACAAATATGCCCCAAACATATATTTATACCCATTCCCCCAATAAGCAGGTCTCCACAAACAATGTCTAGTTTTCTGATTGCATTTATACAAATTCAGTTTTCTTGTCAGGGAAACCAAAAGAGCAAACATGTATAGAATATGGAATTTTAGCATATATTATGTTCTTTGATTTTAACTGGAAATGTGTCATATGGAATTTTTAAATTATATTGTATCTAAAATACTAACTAGGAATAGTAGAAATTGGGTTGAAAACACAAATACTAAGGCAATCAATTAAATTGTATCATACAAATATCAACTGATACATTAATTTGGTGTGGCTCAGAAGTTGTACATACCCTTGGTAATTCAGCCCATTTGATGGCAAGTATTACTGCTGGCAAGAAGCCTCAGGGGATAATAGAGTTGCTGAAAGGTCCTAAACTTTGCTCCAGCTCACCTCAAGTTCTTGTTGATGGGGACAGTAGCAGTAACATTGACTCTGTTACCTGTTGGTATTTCTGGTGGATGCATGCCCTTTAAAATATGGGAGCATCCAGAAAACCAGCACAACCAAAGAAAGAAAATACTGTACAGCTGCTAGGCAAGGATTGCTGGCCAGGAAACAATAATAAAACTGTTATACCAGCAGAGGTGTGCCACTGCTTCTGATTGCTTTAATATTGGTGAGTTGGTATTTACTCCGTTAGTTTGTCAAAGAACTCCTATAGCATTAGCAACGATGTCCAAATAGTGTTCTTATTCAAGAATTACTTCCCTTGGGTACAGTTACTTCTTTAGAGCACACTCAATTGTTTATTTAAAACATTTTTAATCTACCTATGTGCATAAAAAGATTATTAATATCACATTAAATAGAGTCATTAATATGACATCAGAGTCATCATTTGTCAGGGAATTAATGTAAAATAAATAATCAAATATATTGTTGATTTTCCAAGCATTTGGCTTCTATGTTTACTTAAAATGCTATTTTCTATGGTATTCCACTAAGCCCTGATGTTATTTCCTTCAGCATATTGCTGGTATGAACAGCACAAACAAAATGCTGAATGGCTAATAGTTCCTTATACTAACATCTGTATCATCATGGAGTAATGTTGGATTTTATTTTATTTTATTAGCATTAGTACCATTCATTGTTGTCATGGTTCTTCCATAAGTTGGATGTGAAGTGTTTCATTTTACCTCCCATTCATTTAATTGGAATCAGACTGACCTCACTAAGCAACACCTCAGATTAAAAATAATAACAACAATGGGAGAGTGTTTGTGAAAATAGAAAACAATGGGGCCCCTTTTTTCTGGCAAATATACATTGTAGCATAGACCAGAGGGATTTTAAATTTGTTTTGGATCTGTTTTTACCCCAGAGGCATAAATGTGACTCATTCATTAACACTTTTTTTCCTAGAACCTGGTCTGTTTCAGTCACTTTCATCCTGGGGGTCACAGATGTATCCACACACCAGTTGCATCTTTAGGAGGAAATGTGAGGTTAAAGGTTTTTGTTGCATTTTGTGGCTTTATCTGGTAGGTTCTGGGTCAATATTCCACTTAGGGTGGAATAACTACAGTGTAGGCTATATTCAAAATGAATTCAAAATGCACTTAATCCTCAGAATATCATCATTGTTGACATACAACATAAATCTATCATGTTGTAGATTTATGGAAACAGAGCACAGGCTCTTGTTAAAAGCTACGTAATTAATTCAAGGATTTGGACCACAACCCTATCCAGTGCTTTAGTCACTAAAGTCCAGTTCTCTGCACAATTAAGTTGAATAGTGGACATGATTTTTATGAGTGCTGATTTTTGTGGTATTGCCCTTCCTCAGATCCACATGCAAACCTATCCATGATGATCCCTAAGACACTAAATACAGCTTAGCACAGAACCATTAATCTTCCCGATGTGGGTTCCAGCATCTCATAGATATTTCCATTTGAACTAAATAGCAAATGATTCAGGAAGCATGCTTCCTACCACCATGGCTGAATCTAGGAGGTGAATGCAGCTACTCAAGTTAAGTAGCATGACTGTGAGAATTTACTCATTGATTTCAGTGGTTTAAATCCAAGTGAATACTTTATAGTTGTGGACTGAATTGTAATTCTATTTAGCCTTTACTTGACTGCTGTACATGTTTTATTGATTCCTTAATATAAGAAAGCGCTTCTTTGAGACAGAACACAAAAGAAACGCTTATGCATGCAGTGGTTCTCAGGCAACAATCACTTGAACTAGACAAAACAGCAGAAGAGCTGGAAAAGAACCTGAAGTATTTCAAACAGGTACTATAAAGAGCCTATTATTAAATTCCATGTTACATTATAGTCTGTGTTGAAATCCTATAGTATCACACTACAATGGATAAAACTGTAATGCATTGTTTGGAACATAAATCAAGGTAAATTGTCTAGTGTTCTGACTGTTGTTGACTAGAATACACAATTATTTTATTTTTAAAAAAACTAAATGGGATTTCCTCATGAATTGAAGAAGCATTGAATGCACATGTATCAGGCTGCATATTGTCCATGGCCTCTCATTTTACTCAGATCCAGCTATCTCTCTGTGCTCTAGCTGTCGACTTCCCCACAGGTAGAGATATAGATTGTCCCTTGTTACCTCTGTATCCCACAACCCATTTAAAAGAAACAGACTCCCATCTTCATCCCACCTAGAAGACGTCACCTTACTATGAAAGCCTGATATGGTTTTTGGATCTGATGGGTGACAGCAGCAGGCTCATTAAAAAGTTGGGGAAATATGGAAACCCAGTAAAATAGCTGCAGACTGATCAGAAGCTAGATTTAAGAACTTAATGGTGATTTCATAAGTGTTAGCCAAATGAAGTGTTTTCAGTTTCTGCTATTGTTAGGTGAACATTACAGAGTCTTTTCTTAATACTACAGATATTAAACTTATTTATTTTTATTTTATTAGCACGCAATTGATATGGGACTGACACTAACATCTCATCTGACAATATTTCGTAACTATGACAGAATTATACACATAGTATTTATATACCCCTGTTAGAGGGACCAAAGCCATTCCTGCATTAACCCTCTAAGACAAGTCACTATTATTATCTCATAGTGCAGATTCGGAGCAGTGACTTAGCTCAGCTTGCCTAAGGCTACTACTGAATTCATGGCTGAACTAAGGTTGAAAATGTTTCATAGATCAGTTTCCTGGCTTTTGTTCAACACCAGTCCTTGGAAGGACAAAGCACATTAGTTTTGCAGCAGTTTATGTTTGTTGTATGATTAAAGGTGGTTTTGCAAACTTGTTTCATTCACATGTATTTGTAAAGGCAGATTTCAAAGGAAGGTTGTGTTGTAATGTATAAAGTACTGCAAAACCTATATAAATCATAATTACAGTCCCACATTTCTGTCGCACACACTTCACTCTAATAAGTCAGTGTCCCTACCAGTTACGCACTGTTTAAGTACCTACAAATTCTGCATCATATTCTTGCTGTGTTCTGCACTAATGGAGTCACTTCTGCATAGTTGGTCATCTATTGCTAACCAACTTATATATATTTGTGAGTCGCCCCGAGGCTTCGGCGAATGGGGAGGCATAGAAATTTTCTAAATAAATAAATAAACAAACAAACAAACAAACTTGAGATCTAGTAGTAGATCCAATATACCTTTTACCTTCCTCTGCTTTGTGCTACTTGATTTATTGAAGAATTGAATGTACTTCTAGGGAAGCTTAAGGACTTGGTTAATGACCTGGTTTCTCAAATTGGGTGAAAGACCAATTAGGATAGTCCTAAAGGCTAATTGTTATGGATGGTTTCCAGAGGGTTCTAGGGAGAGCATTCAGCAGACTTTGAGAGCTATTCTGTCTAAGCTTTAGTGGATTCTTGGAACAAAGAACTCATTCAGGCAGGTAGCACAATAGTTTCTAGACATTGTTTCCCTCTTGCTGGAGCTTAGATTTCTCGGTGGATTACTGGAGAGCTAAAGGTAATGAGGAAGCAAAGGCAAAAGTTAAGATGAAAATCGAAGGAAAATTGTGGACAAATCCAACCCAACATAGTCTATTGCTCATTTGAAGGCCATGGGATTGATGGTAGTTAAGAGACCATGCCCTTTCTTTCAGGTTTTGTATTGTCTTGGCACTTGCTATATTGATTTTTGTGGAGTTCATATTAGTTCTGATTTTTTTGGTTTTAAGAAACATTGCTGTTTGGATCCTGAGTTGCCCTTGTTGGAAGGGCAGGTTTCTTTCATTTTCAGACAGGACTGCAATCTGGTGGAGGCCCCTGCTGGAAGAAGAGGAGGAAAACAATCTTTACTGATTCACTCTTCCTCCTGCATGCTCCTTGCATCTCTGCTATGTTGCTGTAATGTTGCACCAACCCTCTGGAGCAGATTTAGGAGGAATTAGTAAACACCCCCCACCCCAGTGTGAGTAGAGTATCACTCACAGAAATTCTGGATTCCAGCCACTGTGAATAACTTTAATAATTTCTGTTTTTGGTATAAGGCTCTTTGAGGGCCTTTTAAGTTTGAAAGGTGCCATCTAAATAAGGACAAACAGGCATACCCTGGGATTACTTCAGTTAGTGGAGGGCAGCCATGGAAAGATAAGATTCCCCTAGTTAGAAGCAGTTTTCCAAGTCTGAAAGGACCATCAAAGCAGTCCTGTGAATATAGATTCCTCATTGAAATTTATATGATACAGTATAGTTGACAGCAAAAATGCATATTTGGGTAAAGTTACTGCATTCCCTTATATTATTTTTCTTTTAGAAACTTGAAAAGATTACAGAAGATCAGGATAATCCTGAAGTTCAGAATCATCATGAAGCAATAGAAGAAGAAATGGCAACAAGTATAGAAACAGAGAAGACATTTGATGAGAGGTAGCATTTTAAAATATATTCTTCTACACATGGACAAGAATTGAGAAACAGATGCTATAATCTTATATAAACCTTTGGACGTATCCACACTGCCAGTATATTAATATCCATTTAACTGCAATGGGGTTCCCTTGTAGTTTGCTAATGATGATACAAAGTTTCTTGTACTGATCTCTTGCCCACCTTCAAAAACACAGAGCTGCCAGAAAAGACAGACTGGCAATTAAGCCAGTTTTAATCCATGCTCTGCAGCAAAGGGAAGAAGTTACTCCACTTTTAAACTGTTGCTGTGGTTGAATGTTTTAATTCCAGTTCAGATCATTACCATATTTGCATATCTTCAGAAAGAAAATGATTTATTTCTCAAGTAATATAGCCTAAGATACTTTCCTGGCATGTAAGAATTAAATCCTGTCTTCACAGAGGCTTGTAAGAAATCTCTCACTGAATGCAATAGGAACAGATTTACCACTTTTAACTATGCTATATTTCTGCCTCAGGTGTCACATATGGTTGTTATGCAATTAAAGCAGGCTCTTCTGTATATGAAATATGTATACTTCAATGAGGACATTATCTATCTTTGGCAGAAATGCCAGACCTTCTCAAGCTCTTGCCTTTCACTTTCATAACCCCTGGTCCCTTGCATTGCATCTCACTTTTCCTTTTAGAAATGTATTTATTTAGTTTATGGTTTGCTTTCATTGTAGCTTTTTCTTTCAGCTCACTCAGCAAAAGCCATCACTTGATAAACAAGAAACCTGAGACATATAAGCTATTGCATCTTCCCAACTTATCTCAGAAACTAGTCCAAAGTGTATCAACTTTGAAGCCATTGTTTGATCACACAGAGAAATGTGCAGGTACTGAAAATATTCTGAAATATTATTTTTTACTTTTTTGAGAGGAGAGGAAACATAGTTCTGTTACCACGTGTTTCTTATCACATGTGTATGTACACTGGCAACTTTACACACGTGCATCCATTCCTAGAGGAAACCACTCCTCATCCACTGCAGCTTTTCGTTTAAACTTTATAGGAGCTTTATATAAGCTATCCATGTGCTGGACCTTGCCCCAAATTAAGTTTGTCACCATGGAACCTCATGGATAGCTTCCATAAAGCTGAAAAGAAAAATTGTAATAGATGAGGAATCCCACTAAAATAGGAGTCACCTGCCTCCCCTGTGAAGGAGGTGATGGGTTCAGACAAAAGATTCGAAAGCTTGCTTCCTGGCACATGGTGGGCATGTTGTGAGCAGAGCTAGGGGTCAGACTAGATGGCCCAGGAGACCTCTTCTGACTTGCTCTGTTTCTATGTTTCTATCTTGGTGGGTAAATGCTGATCTATATAGATAAAGAATTCTTAGGAATGGATCATATTTCTTGCCAAGGCTTTTGATTGGCCAATTTATAGGCTACCTTGTGGATCGATTGACTGTGGATGGCTATCAAGAATGTGACATGTTCCCTCTTTTGAGCATCTTCTTTTTAGAACCTTTAACTTCTCTTACTGTTGCCTGTTTGCCCTTTAAAATGTTTGTAAATAAACATTGTATTGTATTGTATTTAACAGGTATTGTAGTTTACCTGTTAAAGAGCCACCTCTTCATCCACCCCTACCCTGAATGATTAGGCTCCCTAGTTAATCTGTTTATTAATCAATGTGCTTTTATTAAACATTTTAGCTGTATTTATCATGATGAATTTGAATCTGTTTCTGTAGAAGGTTTAGATATAGCTTTTGACATAGGCTGAATGGCTTAGATAAAGCCTTTGATATAGGCTGAATTCACACACAGCAACAAGCCATGCTGGAAACCATACAGACATGGCTTGTCATTGTGTGTGAATTCAGCATCCATGGTGAAACATGCCATGTCTGGTTTCCATGAAATCACACAGAGAAATAATGATCTGTTGTAAGGGTTCCTGCATGGTTTTTATGCTTCTACCATTTAATTTGGTGCCAAGCAGCTGCACCACTTCCTGTCTTCCCTGCCCGCACATGGATTTATGATACCCAGCTGCAGCAAAAGGTTCTCACAAGCAGTAGGACATCACACTGTGCAAGTTTATTTATTTATTTAGAGAATTTGTATGCCGTCCCATCTCATAGCCTCGGGATGGCTTACATAAAATAAAATAGAACAATTCAAATAAAATCCAGATCCACCCTGGCTGCAGATTAAAACCTATAAGCTGGTGTTAAAAGTTATTAAAATATTGTTGAAATAAAAAGGTCTTAGCCTGGTGCCGAAAAACAAATAATGATGGCACCAGGCAGACCTCTCTGGGGAGCGCATTCCATAGGCGGGGCACCACTGCAGAGAAAGCCCTCCTCCAGGTACTTTGCCTCCTAGTGTCTTTCACGGAGGGTTCCTGGAGGAGGGCCTCTACTGCTGATCTCAGGGGACGGGAGGGCAAATACGGAAGAAGGCGTTCCTTTAGGTATCCAGGTCCCAAGCCATTAAGGGCTTTATAACCAGCACCTTGAATTGAGCCCGGTCTTCGATGGGAAGCCAGTGAAGCTGGTAGAGGACTGGGGTTATATGAGAGTAACGCCCAGTCCCCGTCAGCAACCTGGCTGCTCTGTTTTGCACCATCTGAAGTATCCAGACTGTCTTCAAGGGCAGCCCCACGTAGAGTGCATTACAGAAATCCAAGTGGGAAGTAACCAATGCATGTGTCACTGTCGCTAGGCAATCATCCTCCAGGTAGGGACGCAGCTGATGGATGGACCGAAGCTGAAGGTAAGCACTCCTTGCCACTGCAGTCACCTGAGCTTCCAGGGACAGCTCCAGGTCAAGGAGCACTCCCAAGCTGCGGACCCTGTCCTTTAGAGGGAGTGCAACCCCATTCAGGGCAAGGTCCAAGTTCCAGCAACCTCCAGCAGATCCAGCTGTGCTTGGCACTCCTGCCAGGTAACTGACCTGTGCTGGAGCAGCATTTTGAGGTGGCACCATATTTGTGTCACTGTGGGAGCCAGCAGTCCTGCACACGAGTCACACATGGGCAGTGCATGGGATTTCACAAACAGGGTGAGCATCCCACGGATGCTGTCACTGTGTCCCACTCTCTGTCCTGTTTCCTTCTTGTCCCCAACAATCGTCATGACCAGGCAAAATCCCCACTGTTCAGACAGCCTACTAGCAAGGGTATCCTTGGAAAAGTCTACCTAGCAGGTCACATGCTCTTTGGCCCTGGCAAGCTGGCTATGTCAATGCCCTCCATGTGCCTGATTGCAGTGGGGACAGCCGCGGATGGCATGTGTGAGTCCTGCACATGGAGGGCATGAACACATGTGCAAGGAGGGGGGGTAGAGGTGGATGTGCAAGTAGATGTGATTGATGCAGTATGTGGCAGCAATGGGAGCACCAGAGCTACTAAAGTGAGTGGGCAGTTGCTTCGCTAAGTACCTCCCCTCCACCCCAAAAAAAAGCAGGAGTTGCTGGCTGCAGCCATGTCCAGGGAAACATGTGGGCCATTGAGGGAAAGGCAGGCTAAGTAGGCAGGAGTGATGTCTTCTGGGATTGATTTACAGCCATGGGGGTTAAAGAGCTATGTGCCATCATTTGGAGGAAAGATGGAGAAGCATAGAAACCAAGCAAATGTGTGAGTCCAGTACAGAAGGTGAGATTCCATGCAGTGCAGTAACCGCACAGCATTGCACCATGCATACATTGTGTACATAAATTAAACAATGATACTTTTACAGCCTGCACCAGTGCTGATAAATCTAGTATTCAGAGACATTCCCAAGTTTTTCATAGCAACCGGCTGTTTGTCTTAAAAATGCATAGGTTTCTCCTGAATGTAGGGGTAATAGTCTTACACTGCTATTAAATAATACAGGTGAGGGGGAGAGAGCAGATCCTGCAGAACATTCTACAGTGGCCAGTATGTACTTCAGCCAGGTGGAAAATGAAAATCAGGTATGCAAATAGAAGGTAGAGGAAGTGGCTAGTAAGGCACAAAAGGATTGATGTGAGCAATCCTTGCATTTATTTTGCAAAAGGATTATTTTACAGAATGGAAACAGTCATTTTTTTATATTGATGTATCTGTAACAATAATGGAGGATGTCCACTTGACTGTAAACCCCATAGTTCCATGACCATGGCAACTAATGGGAACTAGGAGTGTGCAACTCAGGACTATTTGCTGCTGCTTCTTTTTTTTACAATGCATTAATTTTAATTTATTTAAACATACTTGTGAGTTTGAAGCATGCAGTCCCATCTTCAGTCCTTACGTGACTACCTTCCTTAACTAGCAGTTTTACATTCAACACAGCCAGTGGACAAGTTTGAAAGAAAGTTAATTTTCCTTGAAGACATTGCTGTATCACACTAATAGCTAGACCAACCCACACACAACCAGGCATGTCCACTAGTTTTATGTATGAAACAAACAGCAATTATATGAATCTAGATGTCTAAAAATTTTACTTTGACCCTTTTTTGTATTTCTTAATTTAAAACATTTATATGACTCAGCTTCAACTTTCAACAATAATTAGGGTTATATTAAGACTTTAGTCCTTGGGCCCCTGGGATGAAGGTCTAGAACTCAGAGATAGATTGAATCTTTTCCTCTGAAGTAAGAAACAGAGCTCTGACTTGGAAAGGAACACTTGATCTGGGATTCCTCTGTCTTGTTGCACCCAGAGAAAGATCCACAGTGTTTGCCTTCTTGATATCAGAGAAGTATCCAAAGCATTTGCAGCTCTCTGCCATGCTTCCAATATAGGGGAATGCTTAGATTGGCTCCTGCTGGTCTAAATGTTGAACTAGAAGGAAGTGGGGTGAGGTTTCAAGAAAGAAAGAATGGAGGATAACTCCACAAATCCAACATAAGATTATCCTGAATGACAAACATTAACGCAGAACACCACATTTTTACAAATTCAGTACAAAGCTTCAACAAAAGTTCACAACAGCCCCTCCTCGTCATACAAAGCAACAGTTGTTTTTTTTTCAGCCACTATGATCATGTGAACTGGGACAGTATAAAGCAACTTCCTAAATCTTATGAGGAGGTCATTCCACAACCTTGCAGCAACTGCAGTAAAGACCCAGGTCTTCACCAATCCATAGATCAAAAACAAGGGTGGGATTGTATGGGGAAAGGTGGCATCAGGTGGCAGGAGCTTTGTCTGTCATCTTTACCTATAAGAAGCCATTCTGTTTCTCCATATTTTCTCCTCTTGCCCACAATACAGGTAATGCATCAGGACAATCAAGTGCAGAAGCACACCCATTTCTTCCATAACTTTTTAAGATCCAGGCAGTCAAAGTCTTTGCTATACTCTATACAGTAAAGACTGATCTTCTTCTGGAATTTTTTTGGTGCACTCCAGTAGGCAATGTATATTTGCAATATGATCTAAGGTGCCTCTTCCTTTTCAGAATCCAGCTTGAACATCAGGGCCTTCTGTCTCCAAACAGTATATTATTCTTTGGTGTGTCTATTCTTTGAGGATCTCTTTGCTTGCAAGGGAAATTAGTGCAACAGTCCTATTGTTGCTGCAATCTTTTGCATCTCCTTTCTTGGGGATTAGAATGTATATTGAATGTTTTCAGTCTGTGGGACTTTTTTTGTTTTCCATATTTGCTAGCATATTCTTGCTAGGATTTAGACCAATTCTGTCTCTGCAACTTGGAATAATTCTCTTGGTACCTTATTCACTCCAGATGCTTTATTCTTTCCAATTGTTTTCAGAGCAGCTTTCACTTTCCTTTCTAATATTGCAGGCTCTTCCTCCTAGGATTCCTATTTGAAGGAATTCATAATACTTTCATCTCTTCTGTATAGCTTTGTATACTATTTCCACATTCTCTTTATTTTATTTATTTAAAATATTTTTATGTTATACTTGAACCAAAAAAGCTCCCAGGACCAATCTTGATATAAAGCAATGGTCCTTTTTTATAATATATTCCTTAGGAGCAATATATGTATTTGTTTTGTTTCAGTTAATAAGAAATACAGTATAAGATCACAGATCCAGTGGGAGATATTCCATAACCAGAATGAGGTTTCTTCCATCAGATCACCATTACAGCATGTATAGGAAGTACAGGGCAATCCCACACACCCATCCACACAGGATCACACTTAGAATCCAGCCCTGATTCAGAAATTCACTGTATGTGCATGCTCATGAACATACGAACTTCACCCATTCAGCCAGACTTTTCTGCTCATCTCATCTTCCTTAACAGATGACCAAAACTAAAAAGCTCATAGGTTTGATATAGGAAGGAATAGCTCCTCAAACTATGATCAATTCATGAATCTCTGTGTTAGAGAAATCCACAGCAGATTCCAGTAAGTTTGAATTTCTATGAATCCATCCTGTGGATTCTGCAGCTGACTGGCTTTTTCTGAGTTGTGAACAAGGGCAAGTGTTAAATTTTTAATTTTTCAGGAGGTGTAAGTGCACATGTGCACTAAAGCACATGTATGCTCATATGAAATGCTCATAAGTAGAATGAAAAAATAAACATATATATTTGCAAACAAGAATGAAATTCTTATACATAAAATTCAGTTCTGTCAATGACAGAATATGAATTGCCTGACACAAATGGAACAGTTTTAACAAAATTCATACATCCTTAATACCAGGGCATTTTCCTTTGATGAATATCAACAAATGCATCTCAGAATTCTGAGATGTCAGTAAGTATCTGAAGTCCCCCTGATTTTAATGAGCGAGAGAGATGAACACATGCTTAATTATGTCACTAAAATCAATGGGATTTACAAGGGCTTAACTTTGGCTACATCATGCTCTTGTTTGGATGTTCAGCATGACAGCCGTGCACTAAATCCTTTCCTTCTGGCCCCTCTTGATAGAAATATACTTTGTCTTTCCCTTTTAAGAGTACATTAACTCATACTATAATAAGGTGTCCTAACGTATTCCATCTAAGAGGCTTTCAAAAATCCACTCAGATATATGTTCATGCAAAACATAAATGACACACTCACCTCAGTTATATTTTCTATTCTCTGTTTAACAGATAGCCAAAACAAAATTTAAAATGATCATTTCAGCAAATAAGCATTTTACAATTAAGTTCATTAATTTATTTGCTACAATAATTTTCCTTCAGTTTATTTTTTTATGGGGCAAACTGGAGAGCATCCAGTGGCAGCAAAAATGTTTGAAAAATATGACCTGTAAATAGAGGTCAAGAGAACTGTATTTGTACAGCCTAGGGAAAAGTCAACATGTCTGAAGTTATCATTTTGTATTTTCCTTCATCTGAAATGTGTCCTTTGTTCTAGAATTGTAATGACACCACAGGAACCAACAACACAAAAACTAGCAAGGTTTCATCTAAAACTAGCTTGCAAAAGCAAACCAAACCATTCAGGTAACTTTTTAAACAAATCCCATTTTCAAGAATGAAAATATAGATTATGGCTCTTGGATGAAGATACAAACAATTCATCCTGTTTATTGTCTTAGGTTGCTGGATCATCAAAAGCAAACAAGCAGCAACCAGTGGTTTGAAATTGAATCTACAGAAATAGGTAAAATGTCATTGAAATATTAGCACAGAAAATACTACTACATACACATCCAGTGGTATCTGATTAACTTCTCCAACCAACTGTAGGATTTCCATCAGTGAAATGGGGGGGGGGGGGGGGGGTTAATTCCTCAGACCCTCCCTGCTTGCCTTTTCAATCTGCTCTGGAGGGTTGGAAGAATCTCTGGAGCAGATTTTGGAGAAGCAAAGGGAGGTGCTGGACTGGATGGATCCAGCGTGGCTGTTCTTAGGACATGTATGTAATGGCACTTTCCAGCTCATGTTCTCCAGCAGCTGCTATACACAGGCTAGTGCCTTCATAATTGGTATCAGTGAAACACCACAATCATCAGATAATAGCAAAATTTTCAAATATTCTCTTCATGTATAATTACTAAAAAAAAAAATAAATTCTACAGCAGAAAAGGAGGATGACTATACAGGAAGGAAAGAAGAAGAAGAAAAGTCAAAGGAGTCTACATTTCCATCTAAAGTCAGTCCAACTTTCTTTTTAATTATTTCATTTGCATGCTAACTTTTAAATTATCATTTTATAATGATTATTTTCTTTATATTAAGGGGCAGTTAGTACAACAAAATAGTGCAGCTTATTCACAAGTATTTCTGAGTTGAAAAGCTATGAAATGAAGTGTTTTCTGACAACCATGGTATTAACTGGAACAAAATAAGAATACCCAGATCCAGAAATTAAAAGCAACCAGTCAATCCAGAGTACTTTTCATTAAGAAATCAATAACTTGATTTGAAGGCTCATTCCATAAGTAAATGTAAGCTGATGATGGAATGTCCAATCACACTTCAAGTTCAACCTCACAAAATATAATTGTGGTACCTCAGGAACATCTGCAGCTAGAAACCATTTTCTTTCACTTACTCACTGTCTTGCTGTATGTGTGTGTATGTGCATAGATTATTCCTCTGTCACGACCTCAGGAAAGGAGTTGGATGCTGTTTTGAACTAAGGGGACAAAGGCTGCTTGACTGCAGTCCTCAGTGCTTTGAGTAATCCCAGAAAGAGTCCTTGAGTATGCTGTACTTTCCCACTGCAATAGCATACTGAATCTTGTCTTTTAGTGAATCATCAGAGAGTGTTGGTAGGGGGCTATAACACAATGGCAGAACACCTGCTTGTGCACAGGTGTTCCCATACAAGCCCCTACTAGAATTGGAATCTCTTCTGTCAGAGAGTTGCTTCCACTCACTGCAAATTAAACTTTGCTGAAGGGACTAGTGTTCTGCCTTTGTTTAAGGTGCTTCATAATCTTCACATGCATGCTTTTCTGTGTTTATATATAGATATTGTTGAATTCTTCTTACTGCTATTGTACCTATGTACTTACTGTAGAAATGGATATCCAACATCTTCAGCATCTTTGCTTCCAGGATAGCATCTTATCAATGATGAGGTTCAAAATTGCTTACCTTCATGCAAAGCCCAAATATGTTCAGTTAATGTTGCTGTGGGTGTAAAAGCTATATAGACATAGCCTCATATTTGCATTCTCTTTAACAGGATGGGCAGGCAGAAAGTTATATTAAATCAACTGGACATCACTTTCTAAGAACTCCAGAGTCTAATATACTTCCAAAGACACCTGATTCTAGTGGGATGAAAACTGCATATGATTTGTAAGGATTTTTAGTTCAACTATTATTCATAAAAGTTGCTCTTCCCTGGGATTCCCTTGATGAAAAATTCTACTAAAATAAGATTTGGGCTGCTTTCAGGTATAACACAAAATGTTTTCTTCTTAATCTTTTTAATGTTCTTTCTTTTATTATACCAGACTTCACTCAGAAAGTGAAGGCTCTACATCCAAATCACCTGCCTTTTCTTTTCTTACTGGCTTTACATCAAAATCACCTGGATTTAATTTCTTTGATTCTTCTGCATTTGGAGCTGAAATGTCACTTGACCAGGTAATATTAAACTGTCGGTAGGCAGGGCTATGTAAAAGAATAAAGATGACCTTTGCAGTCCTGCAATACCTATGAAACTTGCAGGTTCTGTTTGCTGTAGCAGCATCATAGCTTGTCAATGTGTAAACACATTATTATGATGTCTGTAGAATTTCTCATGGAGCAATTTGAGTGCTTGCAAGAGAAGCTTGCTCAGCTGCATTCTCAGCATTTTTCAAGGGGACAAGGCCTTGTGTTCATTGTATTCCATGTGTTCTTTCACTTCTTCTGTTTTTGTTTTTTTTCCCAACAGGAAACAAAATGGTCTGAACACTGTTGAGAAACACTCTTTATCTCTGAGTTTAGCTAGGACCAAACTAGACAGTTGGATGCCTCTTTCCTCCCTCCTTTTTTAAAAAAATGACAGCAGTATCACAGCCTGCAGTTGGGAATGCAAGAGGGGCTATTTAACCCTTTTCCTTTCTCTTCACTTTTTATAACATATGGCAAATTAAAATAGGGAGTTAAAGAATTCAGATGTGAAATTGCTGCCCTTCCTACAAAAGTGTGTCACTTATTCCTGGCATCAGCTTCTGTACCTTAGGATGGAAACTAGGAAATATAACGCTCATTTTTTAAAAGGGGTTTAGGGGTGATTCAAGGAATTAAAGTCCAGTTAAACTAAATTGGGCAAATTGGTGGAAAGTATTAAGATAAAATTATCAAGCATATAAAAGGACATACTTTGGTAAAGAAAGGTAAGTCCTGCCTCAGTATTCCCATTTTTTACCTTCCTTCTGGTGTTTTCTGTAGAGGCTGCAGAATGACCAGTGTTGGATTTTCCCACCAAGGTCACAGCAGTATCTACAGCCTTGGAAGGGGAATCTGACATATCCTGTGCTCCCTCTGATGGTCTCCAGGAACCATAGGGTTGCTTAGCCCATGTACCACTGTTTGAATAGGTAGCCCCTTGAAAGAATATGTATGGAGCTAGAGAACAAACCTGGAAAAATGGCAACTTCTTGCATCTGGTATCCAGTCTTGGAATGTCAAGTTTTATACCTCTGCAGATCCAATGTACTGGTGAGCTTTTAAAAAAAAATTCTTGCAGCACTTCCTAAACATAGGTAACTGAAACATGGTGCTTTTAAAATCTACCATTTTCTGACTTATTATTCTATTTTCTGATCAAATCACTATGATTCTTCGTCGTGGCCTCTGTGCATCACACATATGGGGTGCTGTGCCTGCGCAGTGCCTTTGGCCGGAAGATTACAAGCTAACAGTTTATTTTGGCAGGAAAGCTCTGCTCCCCCTCCCCAACAGCCTATAAAGAGCGGAGCGTCCGCCATTTTGTTCAGTCTTTGTGACCACCGTTCGCTGTGCCTCATGCCGCTTTCGACTATCGCTTTGATCGTTACTTGTAGACTATTTTTCCTCTTCTTGTTAACTCCCAGTTTTATATCCCTGATAATTCTTGTTAGCTCTAGTTATTTCTACAGTTCTATTGTTCTACCGTTCTACCTTCTTACTTCTTCTATAAAAAAAAACAAACAAACCAAAAATATATTCTTACCCTCTGCACTGTCTTCTTTTTTCCTCTTCTTGCGATGGCGCAGCGAGCGGCTTTCCGCAAATGCGCGGAATGCGGGTCGAAGATGTCTCCATCTGACCTGCAAGACCTAAGCCTCCTCTGCTTGGGGGAGGGGCATAGGACCGACAAGTGCTCCCACTGCCTGGCCTTCTCTAAGCAGGCCAGGAAAAATCGGGAGAACCGCCTCCGGAGGCTCCTGTGGGATTGGGCTCTTATGCAGTGCAACCCACTCGTCGCCGCTCCGAAGCCTGGCCCGGCTACGGTGGTCCCACCCTCGCGCCCGTCGGACAAGGGTGCCTCTACTTTGAGGGCCCCACCAGCTTCTCCCAGAAAGAAAAGCGAGAAGTGCAAGCACGCTGATGCCAATAAATCAGCTAAGAAGGCCAGGAAAGAGAAGCCTCCTAAACCGGCCCAGAAGTCGAGGGATCCAGACTGGCCTCGACACCGCATCTCGGGTTCAACGACAGTGTCGGTACCGGCGCCAACCACCGTACTGACTCCACCTGAGCCAGTACTCCAGGCAGCCATGAGGGTCACCCCTCAAGGGTCTCCCTGTCGTGTGGCCGACCTCCCTACTGAGCCGCTTCCATCTCTCCAGCGGGGATCGCTCTCTGATGGGGAAATTCAAGACTCTCCCCCAAGGGCTAGGACACCAACGCCTAAGCCCATGGCCACACTGGAGGCGGATGTGGTCGAATACCCATCCAGGGCCCGCCGGAGTCGCTCCAGGGAGCAGCGATCCAAGCAATCTGAGGACTGACGTCGCTCCTACTACCCATCTTGGGGTGAGCCATACTCGACCGGGTACTATCCTGCACCAAGAGATCGGTCCCCACCATGCTCTCGTGATCGCCCGCTGCCGCTGGATCCGAGGCGCACATCCCTGGTTCCCCGAGAGGAAAGCAGCTGGTCTGTCTTGCCAGTGGAGTCCTCTTCTTCGGCCCCTCCGCATTACGGTGTGGACTCTGACGACTCGGACGTTGATTCCACCTCTCCCGACGTCGTGGTGACCTCCCAGGGCCCTGCGTCACCAGATGAATCGCACATCTCTTTTGCAGAGCTGATGTCCAGGCTTGTCCAGTCCCTGGACATTGACACCGTCCAGCGCCCAGGACCGTCGATGGATAAAATTTATGACGTCATCCTTGGGGAGCAGTCCACCTCCATCATCCTGCCCCTGATCACCACCCTCCGGCAGGCGATGATGCGGCCTTGGGACTTGCCCTCTCACCCTCAACTGACATCGCAGAGGTACAAAGCCATGTACCGGGTTCGGGAGGAGGACATACCATTCCTCCTCTGACACCCCAAGCCGAACTCGGTCATGGTGGAGTCCTCCCAGAATAGAGAGGCAAGAGCCACACCACTCCGCAAGACAAGGAGGGCCTCAAGATCGACTCCCTGGCCAGGAGGGTCTACGCAGCTTCAGGCTTGGGGCTGCGTATCTCGAACTACGAGGCGACGTTGGTGAGATACCAGTATTTTATAATGCAACGCCTCCACAACGTTGTCTCGGCCCTCCCAGACCAACAAAGCGACTTGGTCAAAATACTGATCAAGGAGGCGATGCACGTCATGGTACAACAGTTGTCCACAGCCAGGCACCATGTGGACACCAACTCAAGGGCCTTGGTCGGTGCTGTTTCTCTTCATAGGCATGCGTGGCTGAGGAGTGCCAAGTTCCCCGAACAGACCAAGCGGCATATCGAGGAAATGCCCTTTGATGGGTCCAGGCTTTTCCATTTGAAAACGGACCATAAACTCAAAAAACTTCATGAGTCCCGCATGACGGCCCGACGGATGGAGCTCCAGTCGCAACCGAGGCGTACGAGGGCATGGACCCGTCCGCCCTACAGACAGCCTTATCATTCCAGGCAACAGCCTCAGCACAGGCAGCAACAACAGCAACGCCACCGACAACAGCCCCAACAATGCTACCAACAGGGCCGCCACCGATATGACGACAGGAGGCAGCATTGACGGGACTGGTGAACCATTCCTCTACCCTATCCTATACCCACCCCCCCTCTCATCTGGGGACCGGCTGCAAAGCCGACTCCACATCTGGGAGTCCATTACATCTGATGGGTGGGTATTGTCTATCATACAGCACGGCTATAGGATAGAATTCGATACCGTTCCTCCATCGAGTCCGATCCGGTTTACATCTTGCTCACCAGTACTGCTCGATGAAATGCAACAACTTCTTCATAAAGGAGCGATTTGTCAAGTAACTCAATATGACGGACTTCACGGATTCTATTCTAGATACTTTACAGTTCCCAAACGGGATGGTGGCCTACGTCCGATTTTAGACTTACGTAGTCTGAATCGATTCATCATGACAAGGAAGTTTCGAATGACCACCCTCCAAAATATTTTGCCGCTGCTTAGGAAAGAGGATTGGTTCACCTCATTGGACTTGAAGGACGCCTATTTCCATATTGCAATCCATCCCAAATACAGGCGTTTCATTTGCTTTGCTGTTGCCTCCAATTTCTACGAATTCATGGTTCTACCCTTCAATTTGGCTACCGCTCCAAGAGTGTTTATTAAATGCATGGCCCCTGTCTACACTTACCTACGCCTCCAGGGCATACAAGTTTATCCTTACCTTGATGACTGGCTCCTAGTCTCCAGGTCCAGGGAAGTGCTTCTCACTTCTATCCGTATTACCTGCGCCTTATTGGATGACCTGGGCCTTTGTATTAATACTGAGAAAACTTCTCTCCTTCCGGTACAGAAGCTTACGCTCATCAGAGCTCACTTGGATTCGACGTTGGAAAAGGCGTTCCTCCCTCGGGACAGAAACTGACTCTCGCTCGCTATGTTCATTGAATGCGACGAGACAGATCAGTTCCGGCGAAGTCCATCCAGAGGCTTCTAGGACATATGGCTTCCACCGTTGCGGTGGTGCCACACGCCAGACTGCGACTCCATCCTTTGCAGCTATTTTTCAACAAAGCATTCCACCCACAGAGAGATCCACTGTCGAAACTGCTTCAAGTCCCATCCTCGGTGCTCCATTCCCTACTATGGTGGTTGGTCCCGGCCAATCTGACTGTTGGGGTCCCCTTCAAGCCCCAAGGCCCATCGATAACAGTCGGTACCAACACGTCTCTTCTGGGTTGGGGAGCAGTATGATCTGGCCTGTATACTCAGGGCATGTGGACTCGTCAAGAATCCACGAATCATATCAACTTCCTGGAATTGTTGGTCGTATCCAAAGCCCTACACTCTTTCGAAGATGTTCTTCAACATCGGGTTGTTCAGATAACGTCGAACAACATAGCCACAGTTTTCTATCTGAACAAGCAAGGTGGGACGAAGTCTCTGACTCTGGCCAGCCTTTCTATGCAGTTCTGGGACTGGTGCATTTCAAGAGACATTACAATAATAGCAGTCCATCTGGCTGGTACAGACAACATGGAAGCGGACCTTCTCAGCAGGCGCATGCTCATCTCTCACGAATGGGAACTGGACCCCCAGACACACAATGACCTTTTTCATCGCTGGTGGTTTCCCGACGTGGACTTGTTCGCCACCCAACAGAACAAGGTGTGTGTGACTTTCTGTTCGAGAGCGGGAATTGGGTACGAATCCCTAGGGGACACCTTCATGATTCCATGGAACAACCTGAATTTCTACACCTTCCCACCAATTCCTCTGGTGATGAGAGTCATAGCAAAGATTGTTTGCGATCGGGCCACAGGGATACTAATACTCCTTGGTGGCCACGCCAACCTTGGTTTCCCACACTGCTGGACATTTCTCATGGGGAATACCTACATCTTCCACCGTTCCCGTACCTGATAACCCAGCAGGATGGTGTACTTCACCACCCAGATATATTATCGTTGAAACTAACAGCATGGCGAATCCGATAGCTGACTTCATTACGTCTATACCAACCACTACTTCAAGTGGTTCGAATCCTACCTTCGAATCTGCTATTGTCCTCGTTATGTCTACACTGATGACTACTTCAAATGGTTCGAATCCTACTTTCGAATCCACTACAGTTGCAAGCTTCGAATCCGCTGGAAGTGGTGCTGTTCCAGCACAGTCGGACCCGACTATTGTGCCATCGAATCTGACAACCTTTCATCCGGACATTCAATACATATTGGACTCTGCTTTAAAGCCTTTTACACAGAAGTCTTACGAAGCTAAATGGAAGTGTTTCTCCACCTTTACTGACTCTCGTTCATTCTCTCCATTTACATCATCGATACCTCAAATTCTTCAGTTCCTCTTAGAACTACACCACTCTGGACTGAAACCATCTTCGATTAAAGTGTATATGGTGGCGATCGCCTATCATCATGGTATGGTGGACGGCTCGTCCATTTTCTCCCAACCTACTATTAAAAGGTTTCTGAAGGGACTTTATAATCTGAACCCGTTGATCAGACCAATAATGCCCACCTGGAGTCTCTCTGTTATTCTGCAAGCGCTTACAAGAGCTCCTTTCGAACCATTGGCAACAATCGATTTACGTCTTGTCTCATGGAAAACAGCATTCCTAGTTGCGGTTACCTCAGCCCGGAGGGCCAGCAAGCTCTGCGCTCTACGCGTAGACCCATCTTATCTCAATTTTCATAGAGAAAAGGTTGTCCTGCGGCTCGATCCATCTTTTCTGCCTAAGGTGTCCACACCCTTTCACATGGGACAACATATTATTTTACCTGCCTTTTTTCCGGCTCCGTCTACTCCATTAGAAAGGTCATTACATTCACTTGATGTTTGGCGCTGTTTAGCCTTCTACAGATCCAGGACGGAATCTATTCGATGTTCACATAGACTTTTCGTTAAATATGCTACCAGGGACCAAGGCACCCCTGTCACTCCGCAGAGACTTTCTAAGTGGATAGTTCATACCATCACTTTGTTTTACCAATGGGCTAACATCGACTTACCCACAGCCCCTCGAGGCCATTTGACTAGGGCTGTGGCTGCCTCATCTGCTTTCGCAGCGGGAATACCGATTGACAATGTATGTAAAGCTGCTACTTGGGCGAATCCTTGCACTTTTGCCAAGCATTACCGCTTAGACGTCCATGCTCGACAGGATTGTTCCTTCGGCAGAGCCGTTCTTTCATCTGTTCTTTGTTGAGGACACCTCCCCTCCTCCGTTATGGTAAGCTTGTTAACCTACCCATATGTGTGATACACAGAGGCCACAACAAAGAAAAGCAGGTTGCTTACCTGTAACTGATGTTCTTCGAGTGGCCAGCTGTGCAGTCACACAACCCACCCGCCGGCCCTGCTCGGTGTCGGTGAGTGGACCTTTGTCGGTATTGAATGTTATCATTATTTTCTTGGTACCGATATTGTTCATTGTTCTCTTGGTACCTATACTGTTCACGGTAGAACTCATTTTAGAAATCATTTTTTCCACATGGGGGCGTCCGTTCGGTTGTCACAGACTGAACAAAATGGCGGACGCTCCGCTCTTTATAGGCTGTGGGGGAGGGGGAGCGGAGCTTTCCCGCCAAAATAAACCATTAGCTTGTAATCTTCCGGCCAAAGGCACTGCGCAGGCGCAGCACCCCATATGTGTGACTGCACAGATGGCCACTCGAAGAACATCAGTTACAGGTAAGCAACCTGCTTTTATTGTATTTCAGTCAGGCGATAGCTGTTCTGCTGGAAATTTGCATCCCATTTCACCATACAAAGATATTGGTAAGTTTTTGCAATAAGAGACACTGTTTTGCCAATAGTTTCTTTTAATGTACATATTGTTAATAAATGTATACTAGTAAGCACTCTGTGGCTTTATTCCTTTAACACAACTGTTTAAAATGGAATCTAGCCATCCCTGTACTGGGTCCTGGAGGTCTTGGCCTCCTCTGTCTACCAATTCTGTGTGCTCTTGAGGTTTGTCAAGCTGCAACAATTCTACATCTACTACTTTCTTTCTTCACATCCTCCTTCAGTAGTACTCTGAGCATCTGTAATTGCACAGTCTTCTTCATGGTCTCTGCATCATACATATGGGCTGAACAGAAATTCAGGACACTACTATGGCTAAGGAATGTTTAATGGGAACCCTCTGAGTGCACATATTACTGGCAAGCATCTGCCTAGTTCCTCAATTCTCTTTCTACTGCCATGGGGGTAGCCTTGCTAGGAGCAACTCTGCACTCAGTAAGCATATTTCTGTGAACTGCTGAGGTTTTTCTTGTTCCTTTGCATCTCTGCTATCATTTTTATCTTTCATTTTGATTGTTTCCTTTATTTGCTGCAATCTTCACTCTGAAACTGACTTCCACAAGCGATCATGATGGCCTCCAATTGGGATGGCTTTAATAGGGAAAGGGACAAATTCCTGGAAGAGAAGGCTATCGGAGGGGGGATACCGATGTATACCAGTTGCTGGGGAACTTTGGCAGGGGGTGCTATTGTGTTCAAGTGCTACTTGCAGGATCCTGTGGGCAGCTGATTGGCCATTGTGTGAATGGAACGTTGGACTAGATGGCCCATGAGTCTGGTGCAGCTTGGCTTTCCTTATGTTATTAATATATCACTTTCAATGCATGTATAGGAAATGTATATATTTTCATAAAAATGTGTCCTTTAAGCATTAAAGAGCAGTGGGACAATTTTGTGGCCAGTGTTACAGCTGCTGTTTGTCCCTTTCTTCTACTAAATAGAAATACAGTTGACTGTATTCCATCTAAAGCTAGAAGTTAATTCAAGATGTTATTTCTTTCAAGGAGATTTATTTGGGAAAATGGACAATGAGGATTCATTTGCATTTTCCTTTCCATCAAACTCTTCTGCTAAAGTTTCCCAAGATGACTTCAGGTTTCCCTTTGCTTTTGGTTCAGCCCAGTCTGCCTCTCCAAAAGGCTTCCAGGCTTCCTCAGAAAACAGAAAGTCATTTTCACTTTTTTGAGTATGCCTTCACTGGCTTTAGAAATCTGTTGCTGCTTAATGTTGTTAAATACATTCAGCTTTGTACCTAAAACGAAGAAGACAATAAACGAAAGAATATAAATTGGTGTCTTTAACTACACCTAAAATATGTGTGCACTTTTGGCAAAATTATTATATTTTGACAGAAGCTTATAATTGTTGTATTATCTGTTTTCAATGTTTTCAGATAGTTTCCTATAAAACACAAATTTAAATATTTTATCATATTGAGCTCTTCACTTTTCTTCATGGGTCAAAAAGAATTTATGTGAATGTTGACCAAACTGACAATTTTTAAAAATAAATAAGTAAATAAATAAATAAACCACAATATATGTGCTATTTCCTGATTCTAAGTATGTACTTTCATAATTTTTTGAATTTTTAGTGAATGTAAAATTGCAACTGAAAGACTATTAATCACAACTTCCAAGAAACAGAATATGCAGTTGGACAAATGTTACCATTACTTTTTCTGATGACAAGGTTTAAGTTTTTTCTGATTACGTTTTCTTTTTTTCTGCCAAGTCAGGACTTCACTGAAAAAACTTTCTCCAGAATTTCCACTGTCATATCACTAGTCACTCACTTAATGTGCAACAAGACTATCAACCAAAGCTCTCAGGCTATGGGCAAACAACACAGATGCACATACTCCACCCGTACTGGCTTAATTTGAGCTTTGATTCATAATGAAAAATGGAGACAACCACTTTTAATAGTATTTCTTTTCAATTAGCTAAGTGCATAAAAAGATATAAAATAGTAACAAAAGGTCCTCCTCATAATGTTAGATATATCGCTATTCACCATGGTGTCCAGTCCACCTCCTAAAGGGCTGAATTTTCTGCAAGACATTCCAACCCAAGTTGCTAAAAGATTCTGAATGTAATTTTTTTTATAGAAATGTTCATGTGTTCTTCAAAAGGTTATGTTTGATTGTTTTTTTAATGATTCCACCCTGTTCTAGTCAATTCTCATAATTTCACTTCATAAGAGTTGGTTAATCCTTTCAGGTCTTAAATGTCTCCTGCTTGAGAGTTAGGGTGCTTCAAGAATAAGGAGGGAAAAGTAAGGGTGGGTAGCCATGTATGCTTTTTTCTTCGTCCTGTCCTGTCCTGTCCTGTCCTTCTCTCTCTCTCTGCAGAGGCAGTCCTCTATTTGAAAGGCTGTCAAAGGACTACCTTCTATTTGAAGGTGTCCTCTACTTGAAAGGATATCTGTTCCAAGTCCTCTTTAAAGATTAGGAACAGTTGCCTTTCAACACTTAGCACCTGGGTGAGAGACAAAAAAGGAGAGCACACAGATCACCTGACTCATCTTCCACACTAGTGTCTTGGGGTAAATATGGACTATAAAGCAATTTTATGTGTTCCCTAGCATTCCTATCAAATTTTAATCAAGGCAAGACCCATTTGGTTGTCTTTCCAGTGAAACTGAAGGGTGAGATAAAAACATGTCAAAAAAATGTCTATTTGGGTTTTGCATGTGATTAACTGGCTATGTTATAATACATGTAAGGATGTACAGATTTTGTTAATTTATTAATAGTAATAGTATCTTTATTATAGATAAAAGAAAAAACAAAAAAGTAACATGAAAAAGAAAAAAAGATACCAAGGATCCTTTATGAAAAAAATTATATATAGCCCTAAGTGCAGGAAATTACCCAAAACCAATAATTATTATTATGTCTCTCAGTTTTATAACTACAAAGTTGACTTAATAATACTTGGTTATTAAAAAGAGTTTTAACATGCCTATCAAATAAATCACAGTCTACCATGGCCTAGTGGGCATACATGGCTGAGTGTCTCTAAGTCTGGTCTCTAATGTCTGTAAGGCCAAAGGTACTTAACAAAAGCCAGCCACAGGATCAAAAGCAAGCTCCACAATTGGCTTAGCAGGCTTCCTGCACTTATACCTGGAGCCATCCTTCGGGCTGTCGCCTTCTGGAGCACTTTCTGCGCTTTGTTCTGTAATACAGTGAGTTGTAGGAACACAGGAACTTGCTTTTTACTGGCTGGGTTCACATGAATACTGAGAAGAGAAGCCACTGCAGTTTCTTTTTCTCAACATTCATTCATTAATGATAGTTATAGACCAGGAAATTAATAAACAAATAAAATAGCAATAGTAAAATAAAACATGTTTAAGAAAAGCACACTTTTCAATATCGTCACTCAGAAGATGACCACATTTTGCTCTAATTTGCATTGCAGTCATTAAAAAATTGGCAACATTTCTAGTGACATAAGAGGGTTTTCCCCCTGTCCCTGCACCTGCCAATATCATCCTGTGTGATTTGCCTAATTAACCTTGTGCTACACAGGTTACCATGTTAGCCTAACCCAGGGAAGCGTGCAGTAGGGGGTGGCTTTCAAAGTTCTCCAGAACCCTGCCACAGACCATGGGTCTTGGGGTCACTTGGAAGCCACCCCCACCACGCTGGGTTAGGATGAACAGTATTCCATGTGCTTTGCGGATAATTAGGCAAACTACACAGCATGTGACTGCATCCCTGAGGCAAGAGGAAGAAGCCATGGTGGTATCATTTCCCTAGTGACACAAACCCAGCCACTGAGGCAGGCAGTAGCTTTCCTGACACTGGCTGGCAGCAGCTCTGCAGGATTCCAGGCAGGAGTTTTTCCTTCTCTATCTGGGGATACTGAGGATCAAAACTGGAGCCTTATTCATGCAAAGCAAGTGCTTTGAAACTGAGCTATGGACCCATCCCCTAATTGTAGGAGTGGAAGCAACAATGAATGAACTCAAATCTTCCGTGAAAAGTTATTCCCAGATGTTCCCAGGTCAGATGCCATCTATCTAGCTAGCATCTATCAGCAAACCAATATTGACCCTCAGCTTACAACTATTGCAACAACTAGGCCATCTGAGAGAAAACAGGAATAGTCATAAAGTATCTATAAAGTGTATGGATGCACATTTTTTTCCTTCCTATCCATAAAGAGTGAATAGAGACTTAAAACTGAGAGCACACCTGGATTGATGACTGTTTTCCTCTGAAACTGAATTGCTGCCAGCTTGCCTGCCATCAAGGCTGAATGGCTCATTTAGAAATCTCTCAGTTGCCTTGACTTTTTTCATGTTGACATCTCCAGAGCTGACACAAGTCACATGCAATCAAGTCTCTCTTCCTGGTGGACAGGGTCTACCCTAATGTTCTCTGACTCACACCCAGGTTGTTTGCAGCGCAGCAGTTCTGCTTCCAGACACATCACTTTGTGTTCTCATGTTAACATCTTGCTGGAAAATTGCCTTTTGGCATGCTACTCTTTTTACCTTTACTTGATACGATGTGAAGATGATGCTCTTTTTTGAACACTTGCAACAGTTCACCTTTGCAAAGGTAAGATGGTTCTTTTTCTCCCTCTACAGTAGTCTCTTTTTCGTAAAAGGACTTATTTTTCCCAAGAAGAATCTGCAAGACTGAAATACAGGGGCATAGCTTCCCTGGAGTCCCCAGTGTGGCATCCACAAGTACCAGTTCTCAATGCCTCCCTATTTTTTTTTCAAATCCTCTTTTTAATGCAGAAGCTACAATGCAATGAAGAGCCAATTGCCAGTCTTCATCCACAATCCTCATGGGAAATAGTTGGAAAATGGAGGCCCAGGGGCCTTCCCAAGAAATAAAGATGGTGGCTAGAGGCCATTGTTTAGCTTTGCAGTATTCCATGGCCACCTGTGAAAACCAAGAGAGAGTGAAAGAGCCTTGAATCCTGGTATGTGTGGTCATTCTGGTGAACAGGGCAATCCCAGAAGTGGTTGGCAATTATGGAGGCATTGGTCAGAAACAGGAAAATTAGTGGGGCAATCATAAGAGGGAGGGAAAGCTCAGGCAGGGCATGGGGTAGGGTTCCAGTGAGCTTCATTCCCCACCTCTGCCTTTTACTCAGTTTTTTTTCACTAAGTTTCTAGTCATTCTAATGTCATTAGGTGCATTAGCTACATCAGGATGAGAAGATGAGAGCTAACAGACACTGAAACATTTTTTTATTTTTAAATCAATTTTTCAGTCTATAAGACAGCCAAGAAAAAACTGCAACTAAAATAAAAACATATAAGATTAACATACAATTAAAATAAATCTTAAAGATACTTTGCCCCCCACCATCAGGATGAAGGATGCATGTTACAGATAGAAAACTCGTTCAAACGTTCTTTCAGGACACTTCCCCCTTCCCAAACTGCAATGATTCTCTTGATGTTTCAAATCCTTTTGACTTTTAAAACACATACTAAATAAATGGCCTTCCTGTAACTTGAGCCTGCTATTCCATGATCAAGAAAAGATCTTGTCCTTCCTCTTTGTGACAGCCTTTTAATGGCTATCATACCTCCCCCCTCAGTCTTCTCTTCTGGAGGCTAAACATGCCCAGTTCTTTCAGTCTCTTCACAGGGCTTTGTGTCCAGTCTCTGGATCATCCTTGCTGCCCTCTTCTGAACCCTTTCCAGCTTGTCTGTATCTTTCTTAAACTGTGGTGCCCAGAACTGGAACAGGACTCCAGATGAGGCCTTACCAGTGCTCAGTAAAGGGGAACTAGTACTTACATGATCTGGAAGTGATACTTCTATTAATGTAGCCTAAAATGGCATTTTCCCCTTTTGCAGCCACCATCTCTCCCTTTTTGCTTTCTTTTAAAAAGAAGCCTAAGAATTTTTTCTAAAGGTCATTAGGGTTATATTAATTCTGTATATTGAGGCTGATCAGAGATGACACAACTAGAATGAAGTGGATTGGTTAAACTCTGGGCCAAATCATTTGCAAATATTGGCAAAAACTGAGGTAATGATTTATCTTTCTGTTTTCTGTCTTTTATGGCTTATATTCCTGGTTGCAGTGATGGTTTTGACAAGGGACAGCTGCCGGTTACAGAGCCTGTAACATTTTTGAAGCTCTGAAAAGACTCTGTTCTGAGCAGCACATTAGGAGTGACAGATGATGGCCTTTGTTTTGCT